GCGCGCATGCTGAGCACTGCCTTCTCCGTGGAGCACACGTTAACGTCAGGAAAGAGGGAGACAGAGATAGATTGTAAAATTCATCTTACTTTGCGCTGCAGCACCGTATATGTAAAAAATCCAGTTTATTGTGCATTCATCGCTCAGATCTTTGCAGGCAATGCAGCACAAGGCAAATGTACACAACCCCCTGGCAGGGGATCATCAACCCGGGATCTCCTTCCGCGTTTGCTGGGCAAGGCCTGGCATCCCTTCCAGCGGCACCAGGACGTCAGTGCTCTTGCTCACGTTCTCCCACTTGGGTAACAACGGGAGAAATGGGCCTGCTCAGACCTTGCCTGCAGGTTTCCCTGCTTAATGCCGTGGCTGACAGGACAGCTCTTCATCCCATCCCCTCTTTCGATTCTGGCTCCTGACCTCTGGCTTTGGAGTTTGACTCCCGATGCTGAAGGCGGCTCTTGATTCCTTGTTCTGGTTTGCCTGGATGCTCTCAGTAAGCGCCTTGATTGTTACAGTGATCAACTGAACGGGGAATCACGCAAATAATGGTCAGGGCAGAGTACAGAAGATAACTGAGAAGGATGAGGGAGACCAATATTGTAACCACTAGCAGAGCAGAAAGAAGAGATTAATGTAACAGTCACCACGAACAATAGAGGACAAGAAACTCAGCTCCTTGCCAGCACAAAGAGGTGATCTGGACAAAAGTGGGAAACGGGTCACTGCAGCTGTGTCTGGTTTGGTTTGCAGGCTGTGAGAGTGAAGGAAGTCAAGAGGATAAAACTAGAGCGGGAGGAAGAATTATGGGATTATCAAAGGGGAAAGAGGAAAAATAATGAGAATTTGGGGGAATGTCATTAACCACACATGCTTTCTGTTAAGTTCTGCTCAAAACTTTTCTTCCACTTACCCTGAATTACTTTGTGCTTATCTTAGAGAAGCAGGGGAAAAAAAAAAAAGATCAAGTAGAATATGACTGAAAGTCAAAGAAAACAAGAACAAATGAGAAACAGATGCCTTAGAACTGTCTCAATCAGCATACGTCTACTGCATTCACTGATTGCTCCGAGCAGACGATTCCCATGTTATTTAGGACAGTGCTTAATCCCAGATGACCTATAAGTGTTTCCTCTCCCAATGCCCATCTTCATTTCTTTGCCCACACAGCACTTAGATCCCTCCTGCCTACCACGCTCTCCAAGATAATCCATGCCCAGCCTCATCAGGTAGGTCCCTCAGAAACGCTGTGTCCTCCCAAAACATCTTTGCCAGCTCCTCCTCACCACCTCCTGCAGAGATGCCGGACAGCAGAGCTGGTCTTGCTCTCCAGCCTTCGCCGTATCGTTCACGCGGAACATTCAGCCCTTTAGGAAGGCAATCCTACACAGGCGGCACATTCAGGAGCCTCCTCTCTCTTTTCCTTGTATGTTTTTAGGAAACCTGACTTCTGATACAACCGACCCATTTCTCAGCTACGCCTTTGGATTGCACCTGGGATGCATCGGCACTGCTAGAGGCACTTTAGCAAAGTCCAAAAGGAGGAGATAAGTCACACTTGGAGACGGGGGGAACTATCTGCCCCACGTGTAATAAGCATTAATAGGTATTATGTATGGCCATGTTAGATATATTACGCACAGCTAACGTTTTCCTATTTTCTTTAATAATGAAAATGTCTCTAGCACAGTTCTGCTCTACTCTCCTCACCTCCCCCCTTGTATTTGATAGCATCTGGAATAAGCGATGGTCGGCCTTTTCCCCGGCTGGGGGGCACCGCGCAGGTCGGCCAGGTCCTCCCCACCTGCAACCGAGACAGTGGGAGAGGGAAACTCTCACAGTCAAACCCAGAAAGTGCTTAGCGAAAACAAACCAGGTTGCTAAGGAACCGTAAAGATAAACTCAAACCCACAAAATCCAGGAAACAGAACGGAGTTTGTACGCTCTTTTCAAAGACACACCACCCGTTGCTCTCAGTGCTCCATCGGTCACTTCAGACTGGCACGGAGCTAAGGCTGTGATTAGATCTGCCCAGGACTGATTCTCAAAAATGTTGGAATCCCAAGAACCGAGCACATCACGCCACTCAACAATACCTACCTCTCTTGCACTTTTTTTAATTACACCACACATAAAAAGAGCCAAGTAAACTTACAGTGCGGGTAGACCATAAATTCGATGTATATCGTTAGTTACCTGTAATGACAGTAGCCCAGTTAACGGCAGCAATGAAGATGCCAGCAGCACGGCCGGGCCACAGCAGCACACCAACCCAGGGACCGCAAAAGGCACACATCGCACCCTCCCGGTCCTGCCAGCTGGACTAGAGACAGCACGGCCTTCACCGCTGCTTTGCAGCCCCTCCTCTGTTCCCCCACATCCCTAGGGCCTCAGGAGCCACGCTTCGCCCGCAGGAACTTTCTTGAACCCAAATTTAGGCTCAACCCATAAATAAAGCTCTCTCCAGTGCGTTGGGAATAAGACGACGAAGGCCAGAGGGAAGGGGTGGACATGCCAGCTACGCCTGCCCGTGCCCCACAGACCCTGGGCCATCTTTACGTGTTTTCACAGCCCGGTGAACTCCGGCAGCAAGGGGTGACCGAGGCAAGGCAAGCCCCTTCCATCAGCTGCCCTCTGAGCACCCATGTTCTGTTCCCCACGCACACAGCTGCCCTGCAGCACCTGACAAGTTTCCTCCCACTTTAAAAGGCTCTGGGAAGTAAGAGCACGCCACTAGAAGGGGTACGTTTAGCCCTCCTGTCTCCATTCGCCTTAAGTCAGATACTCAGACGGTAGCAATTGCCTGCCACGCAGAGGTGCAGCTGTACGTCACGCATCTGACATCACGTCAGCCGCCAGCCTTGTGGCTTAACCAACGCTTCATGGCACAGTCGGAGCTTCTCTGAAAGAAATGAAGCTGCTCATCTGGCTTCATCCTATCTCATCATACCAAGATCAGAGCAGTTCATTTCTGTCACGAAAAACGAGAGCCTTTCGACTTCCTACTCAGAGTTTCCACCAAAACGGCACCACTTTGAGTAGTGCGAAGTATTTATTAGAAATGGAGCAAATTTTAGTCCTTGCTAACAACATAACTGGCAAGTGATTAGTATGAAAAAATACAGCCTAAATATCCTTAAGACTATATCCAGGAAAATCCCTCCTTGCCTCACGATCTAATGCATTTTGTCCACCACGTGGCTGTTACCTCACCAGTACAAAAGTGCAGCAGAGGGTACTCGCACAAGCAGGCAGAGGTGTGGGACAGCCAGCACTTCGGGTGCCACCGCTGGTCAGCAGAGACAAAGGACCCTGCAAAGGGTGAATACACGCACCCGGGCTCGACCCACCGACCGATTCCCCGTGCTCGGGGACCGCGCGTCCCTGCAGTTGCTCAGTCACCGCGCTCGGTTGTCGGACGGCGCCGCAGCCCTCACCGGTCTCAGCTTCCTCTTTGCACGGGGAGCAAACCAGCTGCAGCGCTAAACCAAAACCAAGGCCCAGGTGCCACAGCTTCTCTCCGAGGGCTTCTGCTGGTTCACTGTTACATTAGGAGGTAACACCATGTTGGATGGTCTACATTACCGCTATGAAATTCTGGTTTTAAACACCAAATTAAGCACCAAAATTAGCTTCCAAATCATGAAAATACAACTTACAGTCTGTTACGACTATGGGCACACTGATTTTTATGAACTTATAGTCTTTTACTATTACTTTTACAACTCGTAAGTTTGTAAAAGACAGCACGCCCATTAGTACGACTCTTCTACAGCCATTACGGAACATGGCTTTCAGTCAAAAGCACGGCGATTTGTACCTCAGAAAGACAGGGTGGGAAATACAAACCTGAAGTAGCTTATGGAATTATCAACTTCTCAAACACATGGTTATAGATCAGAGAAAAGGATTTAGAGAGCCATACAATTTATTTTGTGTGATAAAAAAAATATTGGTAATACATTGAAGATAAGTGTGTTTGCCCTCAAGAAGATCCCAAACTTTTAAAGACTGTTCTTTTTCACACTGCAAGTTTTATCAAACCAGTACAGCAAGAACATCACGTGTGGCCTTTGCACAGCCACAGTTACGGCTCAGCTCTCACACAGGGAGAGCAAAGCTGCCCCACAGCTTCTGCCCGGGATGCAGAGGACAACTGAAAATAACAAACTGCCTATTTCTAATGTGACACTTCAGCTGATTACACTGAGAAAACAAACAAGAAAAGATAAACTATTAAAAACGTAACTAGGATGAGCAAGCTTGCTGTGTTCACAATAAAGTACGTACACTTTTATGATAATCATGCTCAAGGGGAGAGTGACAGCTTCCAAAGAGACCAGCGGAAGAAAAAAAGCAAGGTTTTCCAGTATGTTCCCAAACATAGACCACCACACCGAAGTCCCGCTAAGCTCTTAAACTCTCATCCCCTTTACCCAAGACTTTTTAACCAAGCCTTCAACAACTCACGAGCACAAACTCAGGAGGAAAGCAGAGTAAGAAGCAAAGACTTGTACCTTTCATGGCTGCTTCACACACTTTCATTCTGGGCACAAATCAAGCATCAAAGATTGAAATTCAAACTGTAAAGGTTTCATTTATGCCTAAAGCAAACACCAGGTACTTTGCTGCCATGGTGATGAACACAGTGAGAACACCTCAATCACTCCCGATTCTGCAGGGGTGAAGTAGGGCTTGGTGCAAGAGTTAAAAACACGGTCTGGCGTCAGACATGTATTGCCAGTTCACACTTTAGAAGACGGTCTATAGTTTAGTGAGTATTGCAGTTGTGCAAAAACTGAAATACATAAACAATAAATGAAGAGAGAAGTTTGTGTTGTGTAGATTATGCACGTACGCTGCTCTGGTCCTGTGCAGAACGTGCAAGACGAGTTGACTGATGAAGGGCTCCCAACATAATAGCCATAAAACTGCTTGGGAAATGAGTCAGCTGCTTGAGTAGTGTCTGTTTGCCAACACCAAGAGAATAAATACTCAGCTTCGGAAAATTAAGCAAGTTATATCACAGTTTTTATTTTAAATAACTAAGTTCCATGGTAAAGCTCAATACTCCATGTTCCCTTTAAAATGACAAACCATTAAAAAGATTTTTTTATAAAACTAAAGCTAACAGCAGCTAAATCTTTTATGTCCGACACATTTATATTACAATATATATACTAAACTTGAAGGTACAAAGAGCTGTCAAAGCTGTTCCAGACTATCAAGCTGATTTTGACTTTTTGGGACTAACCCCACCATCTTCAGCCGACTTCTCTGCTGGCCTCTTTTTTAGCCCTTTCATTTTCCGCGTCTGCAGTTTACCAAGATCTTGCTTCTGCATGTGGATTCGACCGTAAGTTGTACCGAACACATCATGGGAGATATTCTTTTTCTTCTTAGGCTGTAAGGGAAGAACGTTGTTAGTATTTCTGAGTAGAGAGCGCCAGGAGCTCTGGTGAGAATCAACTGCCTAAAAGCAAGGCTGCATACATTGTCTGGAGCTTAGAGATTAAGATATGTTCTGTATGTTCTATATGCTTCCAGAGGAGAGTTTGTACGCCAGCTCATCACCACTGAAGTGCTATGGTCCCAGAAATCTCCGCTGGCCTAAAAGTAAGCTTTGGTCAAGTATACAATAATTAATACTTCAGCTTTTGCTCTTCTTCACAGATAGATATGGAAGTAATATACTTTCCACGGAACATACCTTCAGGGCTTTTGGTTGTTTTAAAGACAGCTTGTAAAGGTCATCCGAAGCTAAATGTGTCCTCCTCATAACCAGATCTAACGAAGGTCCCATCTCTTCCAGTTCAATTCTTGGTATTTTACAGCCAGATTTCTTCAGAAGCGCCCTAGAAGGGAAAAACAACCAAAATCAACATTGTCCTCTCTGATAAAGATTTATCCGTCCTCTGAAAGGGCAGGTTCAATCCTGTAGTTGGGAAGACTGTTAAAAACAATTGCTACTGCTGATTCTGTTATCAAGGAAGATGTCTGTCGATAACAATTCATAATATATTAAGTCTGTCCCATCACAATTTGAACACACCCGAAATATAACCTGGCTAAGGTAACTTTTTTTTTCTTAAAAAAAACCAAAACCAGACCAGTATTATTGTTAACACTCAGTCCCAGTACCCTGAAAGCCCTATCACTCCTCAAATTCAAAATAATGTCCTGGGTATTAAGAGACATGAAAACTACTTACTATGGTTTACAGCAAAATAACCTGAGCACTAACCGAAAAGGTTTTTTATTTGTTTGTTTTGAAGAATGAGAGTGACGAAAGTGATTTTGTTATAAGAGAAATAAAAATTGCATGGAACACAAGTTATGGATGCTCACAGCCTCCTAAGGCAAGGCCACGAACAGCAAGGATGAACGCCAGCGCAGCAAGAAAGATTGTCTTGTCCTGCCTTTCCTGGTGTATCGCCAGCTGCAGCCTAGCGTCTGTCAGTCCCCAACACACGCCGAAGTGAGAGAAGTCCCAGAAATCAGCCTGAGAACAGGCTCGGTCCATGAAGTCTAAGAGGGTACTCCAAATTCACCAGGGTAACTCCCACTGCCTTACTAACCCAACCCCATGAAAGAGCAATCCTCCCAGCTAGGAGAGGGAGTTCAACAAGGAAGGAAGCAGCAGGTTTAGGGCTTAAGTGTTTTCCTTCTGCTTGTGAAATGACTCTGTTATGCTAGAACTCATCTACACATTCTGTGTTTTAAATGCAGCAAACCATTGCTCAAGCTAGTTCAACTACAAAACTATGGGCTAAATTTGGGGAAAAGTTGAGAAGTGTACCAAAAAGCAAACAAATAGATAAAACACATACTCACTTATAGCTTCGCATGTAAATTTTCCCATCTACAGCTGTGAAATGCAGAACGTACTCTAGACCAGCCAGACGAATATTGGGCACGCTGGGACCTCTGAAGAAATCTGAAAGAATATTTACAAAGAATAAATGTCAGGTTTCTTGGCTGAAAATCAAACCAGCAGATGACTGCAGCAAATCGGTTTATTTCACAACAGACCTGCATCACATCACTGATGTGAACTCCTTGCCTATATAAATATTTTTACTGCACCTAGGCAAGGCTATACATGGGATGGATCTAGAAAAGCTGAATCTATATGTTTAATGGGAATTTCACAAAATAGCCGCACTTAAAACAGCAGCCCTGCCAAAACACAGGAGAGAAACTTAACATTGCACGTGTTAGCTCCTGCACTGGTGAAACCAAACGTGTAGAAATCCTGGCAGGAACACCGTGACTTCCCAGAGACTATCTGGGAAGCAATATACATGCTACCTAAAAATAAGTGCATGGAGAAGAGCAAATATACTCTCAGAGCAGTAACTTAGCTTTATTAAGCTAACTGGGATAATTGCATTGTCTATTCTTCTAATTACTCAGCTCTAAAGTCAGAAAAATGAAACGCATCTTATTTTGCGTGTAGGCCAGTTCATGCTTGGCTAAACATAGATCAATACAGAGAAGCCATTAGTTCAGGGATCTGCTTAAAGACATCGTTCAAAAAACTTAAGATTCTTAATCAGAGCCAGATCTGGAAGAATACAAAGAAGGATCAAAACCAGTACAAAACAGATAGAAAATGTATCTTGTCCACTCTCACCTACATTTTCTCTCTCTGACTTGAGGAAAAAGTTTAGGTATATTGTTTCTTTCATACCTTCCCCAAAACAAAGCACTTCTGTCCTTTAGGTAAAGCAGTATTCATCATTACAATTAATGTCTTCTCTATCTAATAAGCAACACATCTATAACAACTATCTATATTTATATCTATAAAAATAAGACACTTAAATACTCGCTTAGTTTGCAAAGAGAACACAGAAATACAGGTTAAATACAAAATGAGCCGTCTCTAGCGAGGTTCTTGTATCAGGCTATGAAAAAAATACTGTGCTGCCAGAGAGCTTGCAGTAAGCGCTGCAATCTGTCCAACACATGCAGAGGGTGGAGAAAGAATGTGACCTTGACTGAGGGAACAAGGTGTGCTAATAAACATTACAGAGCAATGCTGAAACACAGGAGCACTGCTAACAGATGCAAAACACATCAGTCTTTTCCGTTCTGTCCCATTTTCAGATCCCTCGGCTAGCTGTGTTTTCTTCCACTACCTTTTTCAAGAGTATAGCACTGGAGTGACATCCAAAACAAAGTCTTGCTGGCAGGTATCAGCTGGAGTCTAGCCAGGAAATTTCCTTGGTCAAACACTCTCTCCCCTCCTCTTGTGGACTGAGCTCGTAGTTAGAGCAAAAGTTGCAAATAAAGTATTTTGTTTGCTTCTGGCATGTATTTTCCCTTTGACTAGCTCTCTGCGGGTACACAGGCTTACATTTACAGTGGTTTTATTGGCAACACCCCCCTTTCGTATTTTCCTGTGGCATCACACATCTTTTTACCCACAGGATGATCTCTTCCAACAAATGCAGGTGGTCAGGAATTTCTGTTTCCTGGCAATGCTGAACAGCTGCAGAAACCTTACACTTCAGCGTATCCAGAGAGCTGAAGTTTTTTTAATGTACTCTTGATTTACAACTCTTGCTTTGGTTGGACTACAGACTTGCTTTCTCCTTTCTTTCCATGCCTAGTTCTTTCTCCCCCTTGTCCTCAACATGCTTCCAGAACTTCTAATTTACTTTTTCCTGCAGAGAGCTTCACAGGATGCTTCCGTTTCCAGATTAAATTCCTAAATTACTTCGGACCATGAGTCTATCCACTTCTTTTTGTATCAATTCATATCCAAAAGCTGGTAACGCTGTAACCTAGGTAGCTACGGTTAGCATTAGTGGAGCTCAAACTCTATCCCAGACATTTCCCAGCCATCCCCTTTCTTGGCCAGAAAGAACCCACAAATCTTCTGAGACTGTGTGAGGCAGGCTGTATGAAGAACGACCTGATGGTCAATCTAAAATTGTAGAGGTCTCCTGGAAACCAACATTTTAGCAAGCGTATAAGCAAGTCACGCAGCGCCTAGCCACTTACAGGATGAAATGGGTGTGCAACAACAGAACTAGCAAGCAGGCAGTGCTGTAAGAGATGAAACATTTTACAAATAAAATAAATATAGCCTATATTTAGCATTATAAATAATACATCATTATAAATAAAGCATAAAAAGTTATTAGAATTTCATGAACTGCGTTCCAAGGACTTGCATCGTAAATTAATTCCTACACTGCCACATCAGCAGGCAATGAAAACCAAACCAGAAATAATAGGATGTCCTTGTCTTCCAGGTCTCTAAAGAAAAATGCAGCTGCCATTTATCTCTCCTAAATAACTTCTTCCACCTCACAATTTAAGTGGACTATAGGGTTTGGTTACCATGAAGACAATAATTCACCCTTGCCTTTAATTTTACAAAGAAACTGCTGTAAGATGATATTCCAAACATGCGTAAACCCTTTTGATACCACAAAAGCCAATGAAAGCTTGGTTGTTCACCAGCATCACTGGCATCACATTCGTTTGGCAACAAGAAGCTGTCAGCAATCTAATATTCCCTCTGGGATCCCAACAATACTGCTACAGTAACAAAATATTTGCCATTGTTGTTATAACGACACTTTTCCATCTTTCCTAGCAATAGAGTGGCAGCGTAAAAGCACTCTCTTTTGCAGGAACCGACAGAATCAGTTCTTCCCTATCAGTTAAGGGCAGTTTTGAAGCAGGTCCAATTATTACCCAAACAATTTTAATTGGTTAGTGATACCTTCAAGCCTTTACACTCCTTAACCTTTTCCTTTGTTGTTTTGCATCTAGCTATTTCATAGAAGTCAGCAGAACATTAAGACCTGGAGTACATTCAAGAAGAAAGATAGGGTTTTGATTTGAGTACGTTTGCAGAGTCATTAAAAGGCAAATAAACAGGAAAGGAGAAAGGATGAACATCAAAAGAAATAGGACAGGAAAGACTAGTTAGTTATTTGGCAACTATCTAATGATGCATGTCTTCCATTTAAGGTATCAAGCTGTTTGATCATGGGGTGCAGGAGCAGATCTGGATGCCAATCACCAACATTGTGCAGATGCCTGGACAAGACACACTTCCGAAAATAATGCACCTGCTTCCTGCAGCATAAATATTCATTTAGAGTGACACAAACACGCAGCGTTGAAACTCACTTATCTTTGTCTTCAATATTCACCCACCTTCAAAGGTTTATAAGCACAGTCACTAGCCTTTCATCTATACCCAAGAACCAGCCAGCTGTATTGAGAGGATGCAAATTTTCTCCTCTCCTGCCCCCTTTTCAGTTTCATTCCAGATGAAACATCTTGCTTTAAGGAATTACAATACTGGGGGGGGGGAGGGGACGGACACAAAAACACCTCATTTTTAAGGTCTGTTTCTAACGAGCAATCATTTATCTGTTTGCCTAACAAAAAAAAGCCCAGCCAATATTTATTTTATATGAAAGGGAGATCTTGCAAAGCTGTAAAATTATGAATTGTTACAACCCAAGAATGGAACGGAAAGAACAACTGTTCTTATTGGGCCAGTTTCAGTATTTTATCAAAGTTTAAAAAAAAAAAAAAGTAATCTACTTTTCGCAAACCTAGTAAAAATTAAAAAACACACAACTCTACTTACTAGATCTAGTTCTACCAAGCAATATGCATTTTTTAAGTGTCAAGAGATACAGCACCACCTCATTGAAGTGTCCCAAAAAGCTGCCCTAAGAAAAGCACAATCACTTTTTGTAGTTCCCCAGAAAAAATCTACAATGTGCTTTATCTCTCAGAGCCTCCAACCTTGAGATAGTAAAAAACTTTATGCCAGTTTGTTTACTAAGCTCCAAGCCTGCCTTGACATTATGACACAGCTATTATCTACAGCTGATTTTTACTGCACATGTTCTTTCCAAGGACTCTAATCAATGGCACTTTTGTTAGAACTGGTCAAATTCCCAACAGAAAATGCTTTCATTATAAGAACACAAGCTCAATTATACTCATTGGACTTTTTTGTAAGCAAAAATATCGCATTTTCTGAACTTAATCCACTGATTTCAAATTATGATACTTGAAAAATATTATTTGGTTAGAAAAGTGATGATCCAGTACAATTACAAGGTAAAGACTTTTTGAAAAACACAAGAATTTTCCCACAAAACCATAAATTTTAGTGAAGACAAAGTTTCAACTTCAGAGTCTCTTAGGTTAGTCTTTTTTCCCCCCCTCTAACATCATGATGGTTAGTTAACTTTAATTTCCTGTGACATGAAACTTACAGGTGCCTGTTCTTGGTTTCCTTCTGTGCTGAACGTAAGCAAACATTTATCACAAACCAGCATTTCCCAACAGATCGTATCACTACAGATTTATGCAATCCTACCACTCAAATAATCAAAATACTGACCAATAAGAAGGCTCTTCAGTCTTCTGTATTCTTCATTTACATCAAACATGTCACCAGCAAATATCAACATAGGTTTTGTTCCTTCAGGACATTTACTGTTCTGTGGAACAACAATTTTAAAACAGAACAAAAACTCAGACCATGTTAGGGGACATATTATTGACTTAACAGGTGGTTAGTCATACAACATTGAATGAAAAATTGTGACCTGTGATCAATACAGACAGAACAGACACTCTTTTTTTTTCCTCATTGAAGAACACTGTATGTGTATGGAAGGAATTTGTTTTTAAAAGGGAGAAGTGTATTATTCTTTGTGCTGGATTAAAGAGATTGATTCTTTACTCTAAAATGTGGAAGATAACACCTTCTGGAGAAAACAAGTGAATTTGACGGCAACTACTACTAAGAAAACTAAAATTAGAGGCAAAGCAGCCTATTGTCCTCTGACACTGGAGAGTACATGAAAAAGGCTAAAACACTAGTTTAGTCAATCACCTAATTTTAATTCTGGCCAACAAATACATTTACTTAACTATAACTCCCCTGCTGTAAACAGTGTTATTAAGATACACACTGCAATCTGACTGCAAGGGGAAGATTCACCTTTATAAACCCTAATTTCTTCACTATCCCTCTAGACTGTCCTGCCAAATTATACACTGTAATGAGAAGGAGGACCATAAAAATTCCTTATTTTTGCAGTGTATGAACTACTTGATACAAAAGTACACATATATGAAATATGTTTTACTCTTGCCAAAATGAGCCTAACATAGCCATAAAAGGTGAATTTCCTCTGGGTTTAAATAATCAAGGTCTTAGCTCCCCATCTGAATTAAGTATAGTTCCCTGAAAACTGGCATTTATGTGCTACTGAAAGCTAAAGAAAGTTTCAGAATCATCTCAGCGGGACGACCCTCTTTGGTTATAATTTGAGAAGAGGGCTTTCAGTTCTCAAAGCCTACGCCAGTTTATATCAGAACCTGCCATGAGCAGAGCCTAAGGCATTTTATAAATCTAACTCCTTAATTAAAAAGGAAAATATTAGGAATAAAGCAAATACAAAAAATAGAATCTGCAAAGAAAGTTGCAAGCTTGCTCAAAACAACCAAAATAAAATAAAAAGCAGAGCATAAAAATAACATTCTGGGGTATGCTAATTAGGAAGCCTCATATACCGCATGAAGCGCTTTTTTAAACAACTCCTGTCCTTGCTTCAAAGCACAGAAAAAGGCAATGCACCAAAAAAATCCACCAGCAGATGTCACTGAAATACTGAGTTAGCGATTCCTTACCTTGACATCTTTTAGGGATACAAACTTCTCAACGCCCAGCTCGATCATATCTAGGATGTGATAGTCAAACATGCGACCTGTGAGAGTAAAATAAGAAAACTCAGCTATTTAAATAGTCATTGAAAACTAGACCTTTCATCCAAATAAAAACCCAAGTGAGACATATTACCTATTATCAGGTTGTTAGGTCGCTTCTTGTTATGAGAGCCAAACAGAAACAAAGAACAATCTGATTTTTTGGAAAAAAATTCCTACAATTGAGGAAGAGAGCAAAACTCGTGAGTTCCAGTTTGTAGTGTTTACAATATTGCAAGAAGCTATACATCACAAACACATTAGTTTAGGAGCTGCTTCATGAGAAGAACAACTGCACCTACCAAAAGAGTTTTGAGCCTGTCCAGGTCCACATAAACGAAAATTGACAGTTGCATTCAAGGTTCAAATAACAATTAATTTCTTTTTTTATTTCCCACTGCAGTCTTGAAGATTAAGCCAGGCAGTTTTTCTTGCCATTTGATCTGTAATGCCCTTTTTCATAATTCCTCATTATTTGTTTTTACATAAGATACCTTCAACCACTTCTCCTCACCTGATGAGTAAGTATTTGCAAGTTGGCTGCAGTTGTAATGCGCCATTTTAGTTACCCAGCTAAGCTTTATGCAGCATATTATTTTTGCTGAACAGTTTCTGAACAACCAGTTAATTCCCTCAACAGCAAGCCTAGGAACATGTGCAAATATCTGATGTTCTCACACTTGGGCACGAGAGTCCTTCTACAGAGCAACTTCACATCCATTTATTATTTAAGACTAAAATGCTACTTAAAACCAAGCCAGGGGTTATTATCATAGAACAGATCTCTTCTCCAGGTGGAGCAGATAAAGAACCTATTACGGTATTATGTCCTGAACCAACATTACAGCAATTCTTTCTGAGGATATCCAACTCCAAAGCCTTTTTACACACTGCTGCTTCTCAGAGCAGTCTCTCATTCTGCGTATCACTCGTGGCTCCTAGGTATACACACACGCTGTTTATCCAGTACTTCCCAGAACCACCAGAGCTTCTATACCCACCCTTAGTGGTTGTGAAGCAGAAAAAGCCACTGCATCTCCTCCCACCCCTGCAACGGCAGTCGCTCAGAGAGCATATTGCAGCACTGCCCCGGGAGGGACACCCCCAGGAGCAATCCTAGGCTGGACTAACCACCCGTACAACTCACACAGCTCAGCTCTGAGCTCTGCCACCAAGTCCCTGAACAATACTGACAGCAGGCAGATCAAGGACAGGCCAGAGGGGCCTCCCCTCGAAACACCTGCTCGTACAGCTCCGTTCGTCACTGTGTGCTGGTATATGTACACTCTTGTAACAGCTGTATGGTATTAAAAAGAGGCAACAAACTCAAATGCCTCAAATGTGTCCTGCATGTACTACAACATCACACACACTGCAAAATTGCCCTTTTAAAAAAAAGCCTGTAACCAAGTTAAAAAAAAAATCAAAAACCAAAAAATCCCCCCAACTAACTTGCTTTGCCTTTCCATATCTTTCTAGGCTCTGGTTATTTGTTGACACTGTTCTCAATAACACAAACCCATTGTTTTGAGGTTACAAGAATTAAAATTCCCTGAAGGACCCCCTTTAAAATATCAGAATGATTGTAGCTGCCGTGTTTTCCCAGAAATCATTAGGAGTTTATATCAGTGGTCAGCTGATGATCAGCTAGTTCCTATATGACTGTGAAACCAAGTCATCAGCTATGGGATTGTAAGAGGTTTAGTTTCAGCAAACACTGTTGCAAATCTTTCCTCTCTACCTACAACAAGTTTTCCATCCCACTTGCAATATTTTATGGGTGGCTGCATTACTGTGCTTCACGCCAAGAGCAGAACAGAAACATACTACACCACCTCAGCATCACTACTAATGCAGATTAAGTAACTTTCTATGTTGCTGTATCTATGCTGGAACCACAATGACTTTTTGTTCCCAACACATTAAAAATGCTTTAACCCAACTGTCCAATACAACTTCAGCAATGCCTCTAGCACTCACCATTGGCTGCCTTCACTTTTTAAAAAATGATCATTAAGGATCCTTAGCTATCTCTCCCCTCCTCTCTCTCTCCATTTACAGAGAATTCCTTAGATGTGTTTCCCCTTTATTTTCACAGACCCTTTCAGACAAGAAAGTGCATTTGTGCCTGGTGGGTATACGTGAATTTTTTTTTCCTTCACACAGAGATTTACTTAATACAATACGCCTAAATTCCCAACCTCAGTGTGTGTTTTCAGCAAGTTATTTCAACAACTGCCTCATTCATTGGAAAGCTGACCCTTATTTCCCTTTGTGAGTCAGCAGTGGCACTGAGCAAACATTACCAAATCATGATCATTGGGAACCGAACAACTTATTTGGGGATAATTCTTTTTCGTCTTTATCGTAAAACTACAGCTGTACATCACTATCTCCTTTCTCTCATTTTGTTGAAGGAAATACATATACCGCTTTTATGACAGACATATTTCACCAGTTAAAGTAATGCTTCAATTGAAGTGCAAATGTGTGAGAGAGAGTCTTAGGATTAGCCCCTCTATTTTTTGCCTTCTTGCTCATAAATTATTTTTACCTTTAAGCACTGAATCAACATCAAATCCAGACAGGGGCATATCACTAAATGTATTTCCAAACACACACCCCCTTCCAAAATACCCTCCAAGCTGCCGAAGAGCCACTTTGGCAACCTCTTTGCAGGCCAAATACACACATTCAACTGAAATTCCGTATTTTTCTGACGGTTCTTTCTGGATGTTGGAACAGAACTCTCAGTGACCATCTCATGTTTGCACAGCTGATGCAAGTGTTTGCATGTGGTACTCTGCTGCGCTTTTCTTCCTCTATTCAAACATGAGGAAGTCACAGAAAGCTATGATAGCTCCATTTAACCATTTTAACCTATGAATTCACCAAATTGGAAACAAGTTGTTCACAGCAATGTCACTTTAGAGGACTGACTTTTAGAAAATCAAAATAAAATGCTTTATTCTTCATGTCAAGCACTATTACCTACAACAGTGTTAGAGAGTCCTAAATTTGCCTGCCAGTTTACAGAAACACGCATTTACAGTAAAGACAAAGTCCTCACAACATGACAATTCTATCTTGCAGACAGAGGAAAAATATGCCTGACACCATAAATCTAGACATAGCCCTACCTTCAACTTACTCAAACTCCCTATAAATTTTGTTTCTAATCTAGTTCCTCACAGAGCAACAGAAAATCATCCTCCAATAAAGTTCTTCATGCCTTTAAGGCTGTAAAATGTCATAAGAGAAGATGTGGTTTATACTTACCAATGATGTCTGATCCTCAAAAGGCCTGGTAATATTTTTCCTGAGAGGAGGAAAAAAAGGAACAGGCCCAGATAAGCACTTCTAATTAGTTCTCTAATAACATTAAAATTCCGCATTCTACTGGAAACTCCAAGAGTAGAGGCTCAGTTTTAGTTCAAACCATACACCATATTAATACTGCCACAAGTGCCTTAGGGCCACTGTTGCCATTTTAAGTATTTTCCTCCACATTTCGTGTCTCCTGGGGCCTGACTTCCAGATCACCACCAGTGATGCTTCATAAACAACTGCCTTTGCTTGTTCATCCAACGTTAAATTTAGCTATTACAGTTAATGTCTCTGCACTACATCCACACAAATACCGGGTTCCCATTTTGAGCAAGACGTACCTATCATTATAATCTGCAACTCAAATTCATAAGAATTCAGATATAAGAACTTCAGCCTACCCTCCTCACACAGAACCTCGCTAGCTCTCTGCACAGATCAGTCAGAGAATCCAACTGTTCAAGTTTGCTGAATCCTGCCCCGTAACACCTGGCACAGAATGGGCTCAGCACAAGCACTGATCACGTGTAGCTTGTTTCCAGTCTACTGTAACTTACGGTGAATCTCAGTCACCTTCTGCAACCCTTTCCATTGTTCAAGCCCCAACACTACCCAGCATCTCTATTTGTGCTTTGAAATTACCAAAAGCTGTCTCGACAGCAGACTCAAAGATGTCAAAGTGAGACCACTTACTTTTTATACAGTACAGCAAAAGGCTTCTTCACAGCGTACTACAAAAGACAAAGTTAAACGTGTATTATTTCCAACACATTTAAGTGCACAGCACTGCTTTTTCTAAAACCCTGCAACTTACATGATCACATGAAATAGAGTAATTGTTTGTGCAAACTGGTCTAGAAGAAGGGACCTCAAAAGGCCTGCTCACAATAATACCCTTCAAGTTGGTAGCAATCTTGGTTCCCAACTAATTGCAGGATGTATTTCTAGAAACTAAGAAACAACAAAATAACCGACAAACAGCTGAAATCAAAGCCATGTAACGGAATCTAGGGGCACGAGAAAAAACAGGGAGTGAACAATAACATGATTATCATTGGCATAAGACAGTAAGAAAATAACAAAGCAAGGAGAGAAAAGAGCGTTAGAATAGCTATAATCTTTTCAGGTATAGAGTTAGGAGACAGAATTGGTAAGTTTAAGTTTTAGGAGAGGTTGAAAGCTCCATATCAATACACACAAGCAGTTTACAGGATTCTGGGATATGACTTCAGCTGATCCAGTCCCAATTCTGTACCTAATCCTCTTGCTTTCAAATGGACTTGCAACACTTCACCTTATACACTGGACAATTGTGGAAAAAATAATAACGAAGAGAATAAGCTCAAAACTTCTAGTAAAGAAGAACGTGAAAGAAAATAACCTCCGTCGAGGCATAGGTAATGACACCTTTGGAGTACTGGTCAGTCTGAGATTTCAGGAATGCGGAGAGTATGAAAATATTGATCTTGCAGCAGAGAATATGCAAACTGCAAGAAAAAGAGAAAGGCAGGCAGAACAAAAGGTTATACAATTAAAGGTTGCATACTATGTCCAACAACTTACAATGTCTTTAAGCACTTCAGTCACTGTTAAGTTCGCATTTCCTCCTTTTATGAGCATAGCATTTTTTGTATTTTCTTTAAGTTTGGGTTCTCTCTTCTCAAGAAATCTTTTTGCTCTCTTAGTTTTGGGTTTTCTGTAACAACAAATTAACAGTTGAAAACTTAGTATTAGTAATAACACCCGACTGTCCAACAACTTACAATGTCTTTAAGCACTTCAGTCACTGTTAAGTTCGCATTTCCTCCTTTTATGAGCATAGCATTTTTTGTATTTTCTTTAAGTTTGGGTTCTCTCTTCTCAAGAAATCTTTTTGCTCTCTTAGTTTTGGGTTTTCTGTAACAACAAATTAACAGTTGAAAACTTAGTATTAGTAATAACACCCGACACCGCAGAATAGGCTTTCTGTAACAACAAATTAACAGTTAAAAACTTAGTATTAGTAATAACACCCGACACCACAGAAAACAGTTAAACAAAACAAGAATTGGAACAAGCAGTGTTCAAGTAACTTGTTTCAGTGACTCAAACTAATTCCAATCTGCACAATTACAATCAGTGCTAAAAGCCCAGTCTCAAATGAACATGTTTTACTGCCACTCCTCTTCCTCTCTGTCCCCCCAAGCTTGCAAAGGCGATTTTACAGTCTCGGGCTTTTCAGTTTCTGCTAAATCAGAGCGTAAGCTATACCCGAATTCCCACAGACAACTGACAGGCTGAAAGCCTCCCCTCCCACCAGCTCCCTGCCCAAGTCAGACTCCCATACGAGAAGAAAACAAGGTTCCTCAAAGACGATCAACGGCATCCAAAAGAACAGCTGAGGTATGGCATACCTGTTGGCATGAACCAGAGCAGGGTACCGTGCATTATTTAGGGGAAACACACCAGCCTGAACAGGGGCACAGAGCTTATGTAAATTACTAACTACATGCTTAAGAACTGTATTTCTCCACTAGAAGAATGTGAAGCTTTCGATATCTTCTCCGCGAAGCATTATATTTATTTTCTTTTAGAAAACAAACAACCGCCCCCA